TGGCCACCCCAGAAGGCACCTCCAGGGTGGCATGGCCCACACAGCCCAAACCGAAGGGTGCGCCAACATTGCAAAGACCACAATTCTTTCTGATCCCCAACCGAAGGTGGTCGCGTGCAAACTAACGCCAGGGCTGTTGCAAAATGGCAGCAACTGACAAATCATCCACCAACAAGATTCTGTTTTGCGGCAAGAATCCAGATGGCATGTCGCCACGACTGAGAGCATCAGCCCATGTATTGCGAATCCCAGCGATGTGACTCAAGCTCAAAGAGACGCTGTGCTTGCAGCAGTAATAGCCTAAACATTGCAGCACCCAACACAACGGTTCGCTCTGTGAAAGCATCTTGGCCGAAGCCGCTGTCACACCAGCATTATCACACAATTGCGAAAACTGAAGAACAACATGCTTGGCCACCACATCTGCTTGTTGCACTTGAAGCAAAAGAAGCACCAATTGGGCAAGAGCTTCCAATGCTGCGATACACTTCTGCAAAGATGGGCCATTGCTCGCTTTGAACCACCCAGGCAAACTGCAGCGATCTAATTCCAATCTGAACCATTTGACATTAGATGCTTCCATTCGACAATGTGTGGGCAGCCACCATCCGCCAATCCCAGCTGTTGAGTCCGTTGCAAAAGCATCCGCTGCGCTCAACCCAGTACTGTAGGGGGATATCTGCAAGGGGATTGGAGCATGATCTTCAATAGATCTGATCAGCAATTTTGCCACATGCACCGAGCTGGCTGTTGTCCTGGTGGAAACGCAGTCTCCATTGAAGAGTACCACAGAAACCCGATCTTTTCGGATTCGGGGAGTGGACAAGGCAGGCGAAGATAAAGATGTGACAACCCCACCGGCAATGGAGTGCAACTTCCACCCTTTGCAAATGTCGCAAGAGGGAATATCAGCTTTCACACGCAAGCCATCACTCAATGCTGCCACAAGTACTGCAAAATGCTCCAAAGCCAACAACCGTGTTACCGCTTGCGGTTTGTAAAGCAAGCGGTAAAGCTCACTGAGCCAGGGTCTTAGCCAGATTCCGCTTTCAAGCGACACCCAAAACCGTACTCAACCAAGCAGCTGCCCTGTACTGAAAACAACGTTCCAGGTCCAAACGCGCCAGCACTCATGAGGGTTTGATGTGTTTGCCAGGTCAACACAGGCTCGGGACTAAGTATACCGACCGCACAAACGCTTCACGCCTGCCGCGCCGAGGCGACGGTCGGGTCCGCATCAGCTTCTAGCAGCTGTTGGGCCGCAGCCTGGGTTTGGTTGGGGGTGTCTCCATGGGATCCCATGCATCTCCCAGATTCCCATGCGAGTATTTGCGGCTCATGCTTGCAAACGCCGAAACAAAGATTCACAAAATGTTCTATACTTAATATATGTAGATTCCATTATATTACCGTATATTTTACTATAGTCCATTACACTATACTATATCATATTACATTACATCAAAATATTTAAGTTCATATTATGTTGTCTTATTATATTATAATGTATTTAATATATATATATATATTATAGAGAAAGAGAGAGTAGATGTTTTTGTAATGTGGGATGAGACAGTGTTGCGAAAGGGTCCTCAGGCCTCAGGTCCCTTGGCTTTGCTCCAAGCCCCGAGCCACATGGCCGGCTGTGGCTGCCAGATGCAGCGGCCTGGCAGGACTCCAAACAGGCTCTTGTTGGAAATGTCCCTGTCTGCACAAGTATGTTCTTTGACAGTGTTATGGTTTGACGCCTTACTACAGTAGCCTTCTAGCCGCTAGCCACCCACAATCACTGTTGCATTCCTGCACGTCCAGCTCCCACCATTCGCCAGCTCATTGCTTCTGTGCGTCTGGCCCAGTGTCGCTTCGCGGTTTCAAACCGGCCACAAGGAACTGCCGCCCGGAGGCATCCAGCTGGAACTGCGCCTGGGACCGGTCATAAGTAAATATTGGGTGGAGCTTGTTGGTAAGACTGAATTCAACGAATTGGAGTTTCAATCCAGAAATCCTCAACTTCTCAGAGCAAATAAATCACCGATGTTCGTCTGCTCAAGACTTGCAAGATTTTGGATCATCGCACTGACTTGGCTCCGCGCACGGGCTCTCAGGAGTTGCCTGGCCGGTTGGGACGCGGCTCACTTGATCCTGGAACTTCAGCACTTACCACTCCTGGATAACCCAACCTTTACATGTCTGTCCTGTCTCGCTGGTCTCTTTGTCTCAAAGCTTTCATCTTGACAGGGTTGTCCTTGTATCATTCCTTCAGACGATTAGGACCCAGAACCCAAAGCGTCTCACGTCCAACTTATGCTTTGGACTCAAAACCATCGAACCCACTTGGCCACGAAAACGACCCGTCTACGCCTGATCACCCGGCTGTGTCCGCCCTCTGCAGCACTATGCAGCGCGGCGCCACCTCACGGAGAGTGCGAGCCTCTCTGGCGTCAACCCGAAAGAGTTGTTGAGGTCAACCCTCTCTATTTCGGAGACGGGTCTGTCATGCGTTATCCTAATTCCTGCAAAGAAAAAGAAAGCCACCCTTTCAAATGAGAAGACAGTTCGAAAGCTTTTGTCAGTGCATGGTTAGGTGTCCTCTCACTGGAGATCGTTTCCAAAGCAAGGAGAAAGTCCAAGCAACTGACGCTGCAAAAGCCAAGATGGTACCTCCATGGTCTTTCTGCTCAAGCCTGGCTCCTTTGGCCTCGAGCAAAATCAGTGGCCAAAGGCCCAGTGGCTGATCCCAACTTGAAACTCATCTTCTACAATGAGGGGCTGAGAGAAACAAGCCTTTTCCAAAAATGAAGTCACCTCGCTTGCTCTTGAAGTCATGAGAATGTCAGAATATTCTAGAGTAAATATTCAAATCTTAGATCTAGAGCACAAAGAGAAACAATGCAAAAGAAAGCTCAACCTTCCACTGTCATGGGCGACCTGTTCCATAACGCAAAACAATCAATCAACGTCTCAGCTTGCGGCCAACAACTTCTCCAGCACAGCCTCCCGCCCAAAGGAGGCAGCCAAGTGCAGGGCACTTTGCCCACGCCTTGAAATGAAAAAAGTGGCCACGAAGGTAGCAAAGGGCGACGATGAGCCAACAACAGCTGGTGTGGCTTTCAGATGCCTTGGTTGCCAAGCATTCCATTATGACCCCCTCATTCCAGCAGATAAAGCAATCCAACTGTCACTCGAAGCTTGGCCAAAACGATCTCATCAACCAATGGGTTGAGAGCCACGTCTCTTGGGGATCTATCCGTTCTCTTAGGCTTCTCATGCCAAGTTTCTCTGTGGTCGCCTGCACCGGCTCTGCTCGGGCATCCAAGAGCTCCTGGAGAGCCTAAGCGAGAGTTTTTTGCGCAGATGTTTTGCCCAAAAACACGTGTGCAACTGTGCAACTGTGCAACTTGCCTTCGCCGGTGAGAACAGATGCGCAGACGGAGTGCAACATGACGTCCTACAGGGTGGTGTATCTCTCCAGGCAACATTTATGCAGCACCAGCGAACAGCACGCAGATAAAACAAACTTGCCCAACTAATGTGGCTAAAGATGTGTGGCTCAACTTCAGGCACTTCTGAGAACCAATCCTCAGGGATTCCCGATTCCAACCATCATGTGACGGTGCAAAACTCTCCATAGACAAGCCCTCAATCATCCTGAAACTCTCGTGAAACTCTCCTCCTTTGATCTGAGAGAATCGATAAGAACCCTTAACCCTTCAGACCAATTAATTGCGTTCGCTCGGCCACTTGGGTTCTGGCGGAAAGCTCCCCCTCTTGTGCAGCTTGGACGAGCAAAGGCCACTCCTTAGGAGAACTTAAATGGATGGGCAGTTTCCTTGCACTTATGGGGCAGATTGATTTGTGGAGGTTGCGAAGGTAGATGTTACAGTCTGGAAACGGTGGAAAGATTGGGTCAGTGCGAGGAAGTGACTTGATTCATTGGCTAGTTAGTTACTACAAGGTACTACTTTGCTCTGCTGAAATGTCCAACTAAATGGAAATACAAAAGTTGCAGTTCCCAATGGTTTTCAGCCTCCTGCCGTGGGCGTCATGTTGTGGGGAGCGGCAAAAGCTACACAACCTAATCGCAACCTGCGAATGAACCCATGATTGCACCGTTGATGAGCCCAACAATACACAAGAGTCACAAAAAGTGCATAGAGTTACCAACCTCTACAGACCGATAGACACGCGATGTGATGAAACTTACTAGTCGAGATATTCTTTGATGCTGAGTGCGCGAGGAAGCTCTACTGCAACATCTCTGCAGTCTGAAGGAGCCGACAGATCTGCTTCCTTGAGCACCCACCTGGTACAAAGGCAAAGAACCTTGCAAGTCACTCCTTTCCAGAATTGTTTTCTATCTGTACGTGTATATATGAGTATATAATATATGATATATATATATATATGTTTTTCAATTGTATGCATAGTTGGGGCTGACTGCCCGTTGAACTGTTGAGATTCTGGTAGGTGGCACTCAAAAACTACAGGCCAAAATGTGCAACCCGCAAGTTTGCGAGATAGCAAAACTCTGCCTCTTTGACACCACTGATGCAAAACATGCTACAGTATTCTCCCCAAGGATGCCCACTTTAGGGGAACACAAAAACCATCTTCCCCGTCTTCTCTAAAGTGTTTAGCAATCCTTTTGCTGTCGTTGTTGGGTGCCCGGGCACCCCAAACCCGGTGGTCAAGGTTACAGGTTGAATGCTCCAGGTGCGTCCCGACGTAGACTACCTGGCGGTCAAGCGCCACAAACGTGGTGGTTGCTCAAAAGAACCCTGAAACGTCTGAACCGAATCCATCAGTTTGCTAAGATCTCAAAAGACACTCATGACTCATGACTGGTATGATTGGTGGGGGACACCATGGGACACCCAACCAAAGGTCCATGCACGTCCCTTAAGATGTTGAGTTTGTGGAAAGTTGTTCTTTGTTGGCATTCCGAAGGTTTCCTGCCGAATGTTCATTGGCTCACATTCTTGCCAGCAGCAGTGCAGGGTTCCTTGCAGGTCCCAACAAATGAATACAAATGAGTCATGAGGCTTCACAATGAACCTCAACCTCATGCCAAGCAGAGGCAATCATGGGATGGGAGCCCATCCTAGTCATGAGTTCCGGATGCTGGATATGTTGAACACCTCTTTTTCAACCACTTGGCAGTCCCAGGACCAACTTGGTCACGGTGCTCCTCGATTTGGAGACTCGTTGCTTCACTGGCGCCCCCGGGGCGCAAAGACCGAGGCAAACTCCAAAAGCTGCGAACAACGGTGAAAACCGAGCCATTCAAGTAATAAACATACTTCAGGCACTCGTTCAGGAATGCCATGAATAGCCGTGACCATCATCCACCACCCCAGACTTGCAGTAAACGTGAAGCCAACAGTCTTGAACATCACAAGCAGCAGCCCTAGAGTCATGGCGAGCTTCAAGTACTCGAAGCAGACCTTGTACATCTTGAGGCCCACAAAAAAACACCAAGACCAAAAGGCAGGGCCAAAATCGGCTCACCAGCCCCACAAAAAAACAAACATCAGCACCAGGGCGACCGCTCACTATACGGCCTTGATTTGGTGGTCTGGAGCTCTGCTGCCGGAGCTGTGCTGGGCAAAAATTGGCAAATGGAGGACCAGCTGACTGGTTCATCAGCTGAGCTCCGGTCTTGATCCAAAACTTCCATGACAAAATCAAAAGACTTTAGTGTTCTTGTTTAGGGCGCCGATGCTCCTGGATGTGTACAGTCATCAGCATTTTACTTTGTTCGCCCGTTTCGAGCCAAATCTTTCTACTGGACGCCCTCTGGATGAGGGCGTCAATGCAATTTCCTCAGCCACCTACCCCATTAAGCGAGCAACTACTGAAAGCACGAAACACCACTCACCGGTGCCAACACTCAAGTCAGAAGTCCTTTATCGTTCTCAGCATTTTGTACAGTACATGTAAATATATATACATATATTTATATATATTTAAAAATATATATATATAATAAACAAAAAAATGTTTTCGAATATACTTTTGCCAAGGTTCGTGCATCTCAAAGTTGAGTCATGCTGACAGTAAACATAATTGTCTCAGCGTACAAAATAGACAATAAATTACAATACGATAAAAACCAGCGTCACAACAAAGAAGCAAAAAAATCGTGTCCACAATTGGATCGAAGTCCACCTACTATTCGGGGTTGTTGAGGAAGCACTGTCTACGCAAATTGTTTGGGGCGATCTGTCCATCTGAGTCCATCTGGTCAAGATTGCATATTTGATGTCCCATCTCGGTGTCCAAGAAAACAATGTTATATAATGTTCCCATGTAAAGATGTATCAAAATATAAAAGGATCTATAAAAGGTATGTTCCGTCCAGCGCGATGGACATACCACCGACGCGTTTCACCGGATCATGCGGCGCGAATGGTAGTAATATATAAAAATGCCGACAGTTTGGAAACGAAACGACTCAAAGTATACATATATATATATACATATGCATGACATACGCAAAACAAACTCAATTTCCCAAATATCGGAAACATTTGCGTGGCGACAAAGCAAATAAACAACCCCCCTCCCCAGCCCTCCCCTTTCGCACACATGAGAAACTACCTATGCAAACAATGACCATCGACCACAGGCACCTCTCCAGGATGCTGCACCTCTCACGATGCCAGGCTCAAGTGTGTTTGACTTGCTTGCCTTTGCTGCTCAACATCAAAGTCAGGACTGGCCGGCGGCTAGAGTGTCATATCAGTATCATAGACTGCCGAAGGCCGCACCAACAAAAAATCCCCAACAGCTAGGCGCGAAGTTCCACCTAATAGGCAATGGCACCATCGCAAGTTCAGCAACAAGCATCGTGGCTTTGCCAAACAATGCTAGTTCAACAGCGTGCACTTTTTCGATGCGCCGTGCGGGCACACCAACACTCACACGACAATACGTCGGCACTGCCGACATACAGTATGTGCAAGCAGGACAACGCCACTACACTACAAGTAAGAACCAGCAAGCCTGCTCCGGAGCCTGCTCTGGAGTCTGCCAGCAGGTCAGCGTGACAGCGTGACCCGACTGCAGCATCTCAGCGTGACAACACGTCAGCATGTTAGCGTGACCCATGCCAGCGGGCCAGCTGGACAACAAGTCAGCGCGACACCACTCAAGCATATCGTTAGCGCATGGGCGTGGCAACACCTCAGCGCGTCAGAGAGATACCGCATATCGCATATCTGCAAAGTGCTCCGGAACTTGCTCCGGAACCTCCTCTGGAACTTGCTCCGGAACCTGCTCCGATCTCCGAAGGCTTTACTATAGCTAAGCTGTTGGGGAATCATGCGTGTTCGGATTGCCTACACTCCCCACCTGCAAGACAGCTTCACATCTACAAGCAATTGAGTTGCTTGAATGCAAGACACAATCGTCGCCCAGCTGAGCCGCCCGGCACAGAACTGGATGCCAGGAGGAGTGGCACGGCCCAGAGCAGCACAAGGGTCCTTCAGGGCAAATGGGTTGTTATGGTTACTATAGCATCTTCCTAACTTCAGCACGGTGCAAACGATCATGGACACTGATCATCAGTGCCACCATCCTCTTCAGAACTGATCGAAAGCGTAGCGGACTTTCTACGATCTTTGGTGCTTGAAACCGCTACACTGGCTAATGCCTATTTCTCACCCTTTGATTCACTATGGCTGGTCTCTTGCAGAAAAAGGAAACCTGACCTTGATGAATCTCATTGAATTTCTGTGGCTGAAGGGCTTCTGGCTGGTTTCCGTGAGTCCAACCAAGAAAGGCAGGAGAAGAAAAAGAATCGATATCGGATGATATCGGTATTGCAAGCTCACTCAATCCCACCTCCCACGCGATGTACTCTGGGTTGTTGCCCGGCTCAGCCTTGGGCATCCGGGCAAGTTGATGAGTTTCGCGCTTATATAAAGGTGCTCAATTTTCCTACCCAAGATGTACCAACCATAAAACCTTACCCAGAATGCGGTTTTGGAAACAAGTTCCTTCACAACAAGATTCGGAAAGGCTATCCTAGCAGACCGGTGCATTTGAACCTCCCCGTTTGCCAAGCCACCTCTCTGGTTGCGACCCCAAAGAAAAGAAGTGAAAGCCAGAGAGGGAGTGATGAACTGGATCGTACTACCTTGGTACCTACATTGATTCTGTTGTCGCCCGAGACTCCCCATGCTCGATCCACCCAGGGCACCCACGCCAATCCACCAAGCCTTCCTGGTGGAATGTGAAACCAGTGAAACCCTAAAACAAGGAACGTACTGCAGAATAACAGAATAACCGTTCACCACCCTGCATGACATTGTGCTTTCACAACCACACCTTTTGCTTCACGTGTTTTCTTCAAGGTTCATACCTAGCCTAAGCAAGGTCCTTCACCCAAACAGTTCTGCATGTGAATAATGAAACACTCTACTTTTTGTTTTGCAACATTTTGGGAGTCCCTTGGGTCGAAATGCGCCTGCCCTCCAAGAGCAGGAGCCAGGATTCCTCAAGCATGAGAGAAGGGCCATGTCAAAACGGTCTGATAATTGCACGCCACATTTCGTCACTTGGAAGATGTTTAGGACAGTATGATGCCACTAAATACTTGGGAGCATGCCCAACACTCTTGTTTCGTGAAAGAACACAATCTTAATCTGTCCACTGGCCAATTCACATCTCCCGTTGCAGTTGCTTTGATGAGGCCTTTCTTGGAAAACCCTCCCCTGTGCGATGCTACCGACTCGTCGGGCCTCATGGGAGTGTCTGTCGACATGAGACGCCTGCAGAGCGCGGAGAGACAAAGCCTGGAAGCAGGATGACTTGCCTTGCGACATGAGCAGGTGTGAGATGAGGTGGTGTGAGGAGAAGGCGGGAGGAAGAAGCAGGAAGGAAGACGAGCGAGTAAGAACCCTGCACAAAGATGTGATAGTTAATTTTTTTTTTATTTTAATTCTAATAGCTTCTTGTTACTACTAGTAAGGCACCTGTTATTAGTAGCGATGCACTTGTTACTAGATGTGGGAAAGAACAATCAACTTCTTGAGCCACGACCGCAACCCAGAACATCTATATAACTTGGACCGTGGACGCTGTGGACACCACTCTCACCTGTGCCTTCAGTCCCAAGGAGAAGATCCACCGCGCCGCGAGGTCTGTGGCTAATTGTGTCCAGGGCCACATCTGTTTCACCCTCCAGCGAACCTCCACAAGACACAATGATTCACTTTGGAACTTGGAACATCAAGAGGAAAAAAACAAATATGTTTGTTGTTTAGCTCTGTTTGCCACAAATCCCTCTCTTTGCTGACCCTGAAGCGCTTGGAATATCTTTGGCTTCTGGCACAAGATGTGACGCTTCAAGAGTCTATTGCCAGCTTGCGGAAAGCATTACAGTAGTGATTGTTTGTGTGTGTGTGTGTGTTACTACCTTTTATATATATATACATCCTTTTACATCCTTTCAGACCAATTTCCAAGGTCTAGCGCAAAAGACGTGTGCCCCTGTGCCCATGTTTGGAAATGTGTTTGATGAAACATTGGCATCATCCACTTTTACCTTGCCTTGCGAAGAAATTTGAAACGTCTCAGGAAAAGAACAACACCAAAAACTGATCGCTAGCACCAGTACCGGTAGCAAAATCACTGAAATGACGTGCGTCTCTGCACCTCGTCAATGAGTCCAGTCGATCCATTGCCGCTGTTGCCCGTGTCTGGCCTGGCAAGCGGTGGACGAATGACTTCCATACAGGACCTGGTGAATTGGATCCCCGCAATGCACAAGCCAAGGTCAGGAGCACTGACTGAGGGAATGGTTTGAACAAACGGTGTCTCAAAGCGAGTGTGGCATATCTCTGCACAAAACAGCGCAACCGAACCAACCAGTGAGAACTCAACAGATTGATAGTGTAGCAGGAAAACCGCGCCTATTCACAGTGAAGATGTGGAAGTCCGAGCTGTTGTGCTGTAGATAATCTAAGTGAACAGGTTATGAGCAGGAAATGCAGCCCCAACTTTGCGTTGAGTATCCCCCTGCAGATCAACACGGAACTCAAAAACCGCTGGGTCGTAAAGGAACATGATCTTCCACTGGTCAATCCTCAGGGTCCACTTGCGGGTATCTCAAGCGGGGTCCAAATGGAAGAGTGCTCTGTTCCGGTTGTGTCACATCTCCAGGCCAAGTGTTAAGTGTTTAGGTCGTGATACGCTTTCTTTTGTACAGAATCCCTGGCAATGCTCGCTGAAGGTCATTGGAGCCTAAGACGACTCTGAGTCATTGAGCCGTACCCTTCAGCGTCAATAAGCTTGGTGACTCCTACTCCCCTGATTAAGCAACGAACGCTTCAGCGGAAGCTGCCCGTGCACCTGGACTCTCTGGCTTGGCCCTCGAAAACACATATGATTGCTCAATGCTCGATACTAGGCCTCACCAAGACGCTACTAGGGGCTCCTGGCCTTACTACTAGGAACAAGAAGCTACTAGGCAATGCTCCAGATTTTGAGGAAACTGTAAAATTGTTGATGCACTTTACACGGAGCTCAAAGAAACTAGCGTTCGGTATGACCTGTCAATACTATCCTCAAAGTTCACACCAATCAATCGCTAGCCATGGCTCGAGCGCGCCTTCCCCGCACCATTCACACGCCCATTGTTCACACGGTGCACCTACCGAAAATGGCAGAAAGAATCATCAGAAAGAATGTGTTTGAGCGTCGCACTAGTCGATCGAGACATTTAGAAATTCCTTGGGCAAAGGGTGTTTGTTGGATAAGATCTCGATCATAGCCTCAAGAATAAAAAGTGTGCTGAACAACACGTAAGCAGCACCTATAGCCTATGCTGCCAACAAAAACTTCAAGTGTGAGCCAAACACTCACTGGGCATTCAGGTGTGTTGTGTACTCTTCATCAAACCCCTCCACCGCGCATCACCCCGCTACTCCCTCCAACCTCCTCCCCATGCTCCTCCAAGAGCTGAGAGAACATCCTCCATTCACCTCCGCGTTAGCGAGCAGGTAGTGTGGCCACCCGCTACCGCGTTTAGGGCAGTTACTGTATATACATAGTACAAACCATAGTGCATCACTACTAGTAACAAGTCTTTACTACCAGTAGAAAGAAGCTAACAGTAGCTATTTGCTGCTAGTAATGCACTTGTTACTAGTAAATCTGCATAGTACAAACAATAGCCATTGCAGAACCGGACCGATCTACTCCGCCCGAGCCCGGGCTCCCAGACCATGTGAGGAAGGGACGATAAGCACCGGCTGCTGGAGCCCATTCAAGGCCTCTCTCGCCTGTCAAATACTGAAAAGTCGAGTCAAGCATCAAAAATCGGCTGAACAATGGCAAAGCACAGCTGCTCCGCGATTCGCCAGACCTGAATACGCTTGCGAATCATCCCCCCACTGTTCTGCTCAGTTGGGAAGATAAGGTGCATGCACTGGTTTCTCATTGTCAAGTTGGAAAAAGGGGTAAACTAAATCTCTTCCCCAGGCGGGTCTGGCTTGCGTGTTGGTCCCATGCAGGGTACAGAACGACGTCTAGAAATGTCATGAAATGTCTATATTGGAGCAAAGAAGGTTGTGATTTGAGCTGACACTGGTCGCTCTGGTTCAGGCTTCAACTCTGTGACTTGATGGCTCCCGTCCTTCGTTTTGGCGGCCAACCACTTCCCATCAAAGCGCAAGAGGTCGCACTGGCGCGCAGAAGCATTGGTTTCTTTCGCACTGTAGAACAAAGGTGTTTTCGATTGAGGACACCCCCCACAACAAAACTAAATGCCTTTCTTCGAACCAATGGGCCTGAAGGTCTGAAATGGAGCTGACCCCTTCGCTTCAACTAAACGTCCATTACCATGAAAACCTACCTGGCCTTCGTCAATATCTACGACATCATCTACAGTACAAGGATGTACAAGGTGGAATCATGTGGAATCTATGTGGAACACATCGATTTTGGCTGGGTTGGCACCATTTTCTGGTGAAAAGTTCTTGGCACGTCCTGCCAACACTGCCCCAACGACCTGCACTCCGGACTACAGGACTACATAACACGCCAGGCTCACCCTCCGATCTGTGGATCGAGGTATAGGCCCAAGCCGGCGACCCGGCGTTGCAACCTTCAGACAAAGTAAGGAATTTGTTTCCACTGAACACACAAACAAACAAACAAACAAACAAACAAACAACCAACCAACCAACCAACCAACCAACCAACCAACCACCCAAACAAACAAGCAAGCAAACAAACAAACAACAACCCTCGCGACTTTAGTTCTTGCACAGCATGTCTTCCAAACAGGATTGACTCACACACCCAATCCTGCAGAGCAGGGTCTCCGCCATATGACATCGGAAATGAAAGTTGGGAGGCTCGCCAACGGACGGTCGCAAAATGCGCAAATGTGGTATCATCGACTGACATTTGACAGCATTTTCTTGTTCATTCTTCAAAGAGTCCACATTCAATGTTTTTTCGTTTTCGCGGACGAATTCGCTCAGTTCGACGGGGTCAACCATGTTTTGAAAAATGTAGACATAGTAAACAATGCCAACAAATTTGAAACTGCAAAGCACCGGCACCTCCTGAAAGACCTCTGCGTCATCCCAAAGGTCCTTCAGAAGCTTGCGCACGATATTGGGATGTTCACCACAGGTGCCGAAACTTTGCGGTCTTCATGCAAGGGAACTTGCTTATTACCCGAGGAACTCGTCTATACACTGTCTCGAAACCTTCAAACATCTTCAAACCCATCCTGCACTGCCTTCAACCCCCTATGGTGGCCACGCCGCTCCTCAGCCGCCCCAACCCCAGCAAGCGCCAATAAAGCCTCGCGAACAAGCTCTAGGGCTTCTTTGGCCATCAACCACCTTGACATGCCTTTGCTGCTAGGCCACTTCAACGTTGAGCGTTTGTCACATGCAACCAACACAGCAAGTTCTACCAAAGCGCACGATTCTAGGGTTCCCGGCCAGCATCTGGCTCAAACTCCAATCGCGCAGGCATGGGGGCCCAATGAAGGGCAGGTTTGGCTTCGTAGGCGCGATAGCATTGAAGTGCTCCATGTTTTTCATGCAGGGGCGGTAGCCCACTCATGAGTCTACTGTCAATGATGCTACTTGTGAGCTTGGGAGGATTCCAAGGCATCACCCTGACGCACCTGCATTTTTAATAAGCTTCCAGCTTGCCAGACATGCATCTTTGGTTCGAATTGCACGCTCTTCGTCGCGGGACTGAGGGGTTTTGAATATGTTTAGACCGCCTTGGCGTTGGGGCGGGTTGCATTAGACCGTACATACTTTATCCTGAGTGTCTCTCTTTCTTTGGCCCGAAGTGAGCCCGAAGCAGTGCCCTCCCCCCCAGTCAACCTGGCGGCAAAGATTCCACCAATTGGTGGACAGAGCAGGCCGCAGCGGAAGAAAGAGCCTCAGCGCAAACGTCACTGTCCGACTTCTCCGACTTGACGACACGGTATAAACAGGAGCAAGCTTCTATGCCTGAAGCGGGCGAAAGGAGCCGGCGTCGCGCATGGCAGAGCATCGAAGATTTGATTTTGAGTTCAAGTGGGCTCGGGCGGGCCCTTATAGTCTGCGCCTTTATTTTACTCACGTCGAAGGTCTTCCTTGGTTGGAGCAGACCCTCTTTGATCATCGTGAACCTTTTTCATGTATGTCGCTCCATGGAATTACAGCAAATAGCTTTGACCATTCTCGTTGTCGCCTCTGCATTCTGGGCTCTACCTTGCCAATCCTCATCTGCTCGCTCAACTTCGTGGGTTTGATGCTGCTGTGGCCAGGATGATGCATGCTCACGCTTCATGTTCTTTACCTTTCCGTCACGGCAGTTGACGGGCTGCATTGGTTTCCCACCTCCTCTGCGGCCACCTTTGAATAACGTTGACGGTTTCTTATTCCGTATTCCTTCCTGATCCTTACTTATATCCCTTCGGCATGACAGCAAAGCAAGAAACGACCTATTTACTTACAATCCTGCCAACCACCCTCTTGATTGGAGTCGTTGACACAGTACAACATTTTTCCGCACGATTCTCCATTCAGCGACACCCTCGCTCTCACTGTTGCTTTACCCATCAGACTACAGCGGCTCGAGCTGCTTTGTACAGACCATTCCCCCACCCAGCTTGACACTCCCACAGGGGCGGTGAGCCCACTCATGAGTCTACTGCTAACGAAGCTACTCGTGAGCTTGGGAGGACATCAGGGCTCATCACCCTGACACACCTGGGGCTTTGACTTGTGAATTTCCTTCTTGGTCCCTGCTTCGCACTAGCACAAGACCTCTTCGTTGGCTTCGGCTTGCAGTAAAGTGAGTGCTAATGAGCTTGCCAGACTTGCATCTTTGTTCGAATTGCGCGTTCCTCGTTGTGGGACTGAGCTTTTGAACGTTTAGGTTAAGATTGCTCTTTAAGGATTTTGAGTATGTCTAGACGGTCTTGCATGCTACCCGGTTTACAGTTTACTTAGGCAATTTTTCATTGGGGCAGGTGGTATTCAGTTCGTACGTACGTACGTACTTTATCCCGAGTGTGTGCGGGTGTGTGTGTGTGTGTGCGTGTGTATGGTCCATAGTTTTCTTCATGCTGCTGGAGTTCAGGATGTTCATAAAGAGGTTTCTTAGACTTCAGTAGGTCACAATGAAAACCTTGGATTGCTGCAATGCTTTGGACTCGAAAGTGCATTGGCTAAGCCTCTAAGTGTCTGTCTCTTTGATTCTCTGTCTCGCTTGCTCAGCAGATTCCGTTTGCCATAATTGCTTTGCCATAATTGCTTTTGACGCGCAAAGGCCACTTTGGACCTTTGTTGAGAGAGAGCTGGTCAGCACCCCACATCGTTTCTATAACAGGTGCTTCCGCCAATTTAAAGTGTTTTTGGTGCAGCCGGCAAGATAAACAACCGAGTCGTGTTCATTCTGCAGGTGTCACGGACCGAAGTAACTTCTCTTCATCGCTAAGGATCGACTCTACTAACACCTTCAACAGTTGACAAAGACCCGACATGCTGGCCCTTTGAGGTATGGATGTGTAGCTTTCCTTGGCACAAATCCCCAAGGGTTGGCTTGACATCCACTTCTTACACAACTCTAATCATAGAACATACAGCCTCAAGGCATTGAGCAACAACGTTCCTGAGATGGACTCTTCCCAAGAAATACACTGCATTTTCATGCATTTTATACTGCGTAAATCCTGCCACACCCCACGCGCCTTCCCCAGCTTCCGGCGCTCCCGCTGCCGGGCGCGTTTCGCAGCCCGAGAGCCGGGCGCCGGTGCCGCCCTGAGTGGGTGGTGGGAACTCCTTTCAAGCAGGAGTTTGGGTTAGAGTCAGTTCGAGGCTTTGCTTTTTAAGCAACCTCAACAGAAACCCTGCAGCATCATCCTGAAAGAAGGATGTTTGGTGGTTCTTCAGCAAATGTACACAGGTTGTTCCGCTGCTCTGTGTTTCTCGCTTAGACCCAGTGCTGCCAAGGTCCCCGACGCTTCCTCCTCCACCGCCTCCTGAGGATCTCCCGGATGAGGGACAGCCTCGTCAGTCGGCGCAGTGGCTGCAGCCCAGGAGGACCAAAGCCTTGTCTCCTGTGGCAAAGTTGGGAGCAGGTGCTGGCAATCTCCAACAAGCACACTCCTGGCTTGAGGATTGAATGATGTGACAACCAGGTACGAGTAACTCCCATGACACTGACAAGCTCACCTTCAGTGGTACCACTGATGCTCCCATGCTTCGCAGTCAAACTCCATGGTCGAACGCATTCGGATTGCCCCGCTCCGTGGGTTCACGAACTTCCCGCTCCACTGGGCTGGCAGGAGCGCCCGCAGGACCCACAGGGCGTGGGAGCGGCTCAGGGCCGACCTGGCATCGGTGCCGGGTGAAGATCAATCGTGATATGATCATCTCTCATTTCAATGGAACAAGGACGCTACTAGGAGCAAAGGGCATCGCTACTAGGAGCCAGGACGGTACTAGGGGATCCCGGGTTGTGAAGGCAAGATTCGACACCACCTGACTCCCAGTGCCCCTAGAAATCCCCAGGGTTCAAGTGGAGCCACACCACCAAAGCCGAGCCTCTTGGGCCCGAAGAACCAGTTGCTCCACCAGCTGCGCCAGCTGAATCTCGAAGGCTGCCCAGGACCTCAGCGCCGTGATGTGGAGTTTGGGAACATCCTGCAAAAAGTAGCGATGGCCTCCACCCTAGTAGCGATAGCCTCCAACCTAATAGCGATGGCCTCCACCCTAGTAGCGATGGCCTCCAAC